ATGATCAAGATCACTATGTATCAGTGACCTGTCCTCTTCAATATTTACCACTCACTCTCCCAGTTGGTGTCATCTGCAAATGTTATCAGTGATGATTTTAGGTTTTCTTCCAAATCATTAATAAAAATGTTAAATATTGTAGGGCTAAGAACCAGGACCCTACTAGAAACACACCCCTGATTTCCTGTTTACAATTACATTTTGAGACCAGTCAGCTTTTAATCTAGTTGTGTGCCATGTTAATTGTATATTCTAGTTTGTTCATCAAAATGTCATGCGGTACCAAGTCAAGCCGTGCAGAAGTCTAAATATATTACATCAACACTATTACCTTTATAAACCAAACTAGAAATCTCATTTAAAAAAAAATCGTTATTTCAACAGGATCTATTTTCCATAAACCTATGTTGATTGGCATTGATTTTATTGCTGTCCTTTAATTCTTTATTAGTTGATTCCTCTGTCAGCCACTCCATTATCTTGCCTGGGATTGATGTCAGACTGACCAGGCTGCATCTACCTGGCTTATCCTGTTGACCCTTTTAAAATATTGGCACAATGTTAGCTTTCTACCAGTCTTTTAGAACTTCCCCAGTGTCCTAAGACTTATTAAAAATGAACATTAATTAGTCCACTGAGCTCCTCAGCCAGCTGTTTTAAAACCCTTGGATGGAAGTTATCTGGACCTGCTGATTTAAAAAATGTCCAACTTTAGTAGCTTCTGTTTAACATTCCCCCAGAGATTCGAGTGAAGTGGAGAGAGTTGTCATAGTCATAGAAAATGACTACATCATGTGTGTTTATTCCCAAATACAGAACAGAAATATGTACTGAACACTTGTCCTTTTCTACATTATGCATTAATCACATTTCTCTGATTAAATTATTCCTCCCCGCTGATTCGGCTCATAATTGTTTTCATCTTTGTGAAACTGGCCTTTTAAAGCACCAAGTATATATATCACTGGTCTGAACTGTAGCCCATAGGCTAGCTTGCTTTTACTATATTCACTGCCCTGCCTTCATTATATTTAGCTGCTTTCATTATATGCAGCCATAATGCAAGAAATCTACAGGTCTGTATCCTGTAAGATATTAGCTGAAGCATAAATTAGCACAAGTGTGGTTAAGTAGATCATAACCTTTGGCATAAATTAACGGTTGCCTTTAGATTTAGGGCACTAAGGAGAACTTGCTCAATGGTAGGAGGTAGAATGTTCCAGTAAGTGCTATCGCAAGGAACAATGGAAATAATAGCCACAAATCCATTGATGCAAGAGGTGACAGGTATGATCATGAGCTGAAATGGTAGTTACATGTACCGATATACTAAGCTATAGAAGGATACCTCAGCATTAGTAGATTGAGAAAATATAAATAAGGAAGAGGGGAAATACTCCTACTGAATATGCATTAGACATATTATAAAAGTTGCATCCCAGCCTGTGAGCAGCATGAGAGAAAGATGTAGCCCTTGGGAGTGCCAAAATGATGGCCACTGGTGATGATGAGGAAGACAATGGCTAACATTTCAAGTTGTTCCACAATGGATGGTGTGTATATGGATGTTCGGACAGACGTTCTGTAGTTCTCAGTTTACCTTACTGAGTTAAAGTGTTTGTGACTTTGCTAAATGTATTATTAAACTATTTGTAAATATAGAAGAGGTCCTATACTGTGAGTGTTGCAGCTGTGCACATCAGGGTTCCCAACTATATAGTAATTTTTAATAATACTGGGCATGATCTTGAGACAAGAACCTGTCAACCCTGAAAGTAATCAATATAATGACTCCATAATCTATAAATCAGGCTACAGGACTTTATTCTGTTTGCACATTATAAATGTGATCAAGGCATGATCATTTGTCCCTAAGTTACCATTCATTTTTAGTTCTGTGGTCAGTTCCTCTTTATCAAGACAAGATCTAATATAGAATTCCCCCGTGTTGGATACAACAATTTTTGAATTAGGAAATTGTCATCTATAATATTTAGAAATTCCAAGGATGTTTTTTGTACTGGCAGCAAGACCTCCAACATACGTCACTCAAATTGAAGTCCCCTATGAGCACGCAGCTTTTATTCTTACACATTACAGATAGGTGTATAAGGAGCCAGTTATCCTGTCCCTAGTATGATTTGGTGGTGTGTAGCAGACACCAACTAATACCCCATCTTTTGCTTTATCTGTTAGGAGATTGGACCATGAGCATTCAGAATAATTTTGTTCTTAGTTATCAGTGTCTCAGAAACAGGTAATTCCACTTTTGACAGAGTGCTGCTCTCCCTCCCCTTTTGTCCACTCAGTCATTCATAAATAGATTTTAACCATCGATTTTAACATTCCAATCATGGGAATCACCCCACCAGGTTTCAGTAATACCAACTAAATCAAATTTATTCTCATAAATGAGCAATTCCCATTCCTCTTGCCTAACCATGCTCCTAGCATTGGTCTCATCATGTCCTTTGGTTCCTTGATTAATTTTGTTCTCAACTGCTCACAGTTGTGCTGAGTGTTCATATCTTCCCTCTTTTTACCCTTCCCTTTTGTTATTAGCTTAACACCCTCCTGACTACTCTAACCAGTCTGTTCCTGAGAAGATTCCCCCCTTCTACTGAGGTGGAGGCCATCCAAACTATACAGCTTTCTCTCCTCATAGAAGGTGAATCAGTGTTCCACAAAACAACTGCCATTATACCACTTACCTACCCAGTGGTTCACTTTCAAAATCTTCTGTCCTGCTCGTGGGACTGGGGAAGGATTTTAGAGATGATTGTTCAGCACCCTTCTGAGTCCCCTGAAGCCATCTACTATCTGTGAGATATCCTGCAACGCAGTGTCATTCATGTTGATATGAAACATCACCAATGAATCCTTTCCCATTGCCTCCAAAAGCCTATCTAATCTTAGCATGGCATCTTGGCTCCAGGAAGGCAGCGTACTGTCCTGTTGTCTGCCTGTCCCTTGCAGAATGTTCTTTTGATGCTTCTGAGTATTGAATCCCCAAAGAGGATCATCTGTCTTCCTTGGATGGCTGGAGAACTCTTTAAGAAAATCAAGTTTGCCCACACATACTGGGCCAAGTTCTCATCCATGGTTGTTTCCTATACATCTCTCCATTGCCTTGGAACATCTGTATCTTAAGGGGTATCTGTGATGAGGGCCCTGGTATGCAACCTGGACTGTGGGACCGCAGAGCCCTCCAAAACCCACCAGCCTGGCATATCCCTCACACTGAGATGCTAATGTCAAGCTACAAACCGCTGTCAGGCATTACTTACACAGACATCCACAGGCAGGAACACACCCAACGGAGTTACATGAATGGTCTGCCAAACATTCATGAACCAACATGAGAGGCTCCATCCAATTCCCCCAGTTCTCCAGTCTTGCACCCCAGAACTGTAGTGTCTTGCACTGGTCAGAAGCATGACCGGTGTAAATTCACTACTTAGTTTGCCATTTCTTCATAGGAAAGTGGACATGCACCAGCCTTTGAACCCTGAGCAGATTTCCCAACCACTTTAGACAAACTCACTGGGAAGGATAAAACATTAAAATTAGTTTATTAACTGCAGAAAGATAGATTTGAAGTGATTATAAGTGGTAGGCATAAAGGCCAGGGAGAGTTACCTTAAGAAAATAAAAAGTAAACACGCTTTCTAAATCCTAAACTTTTAGTCTAAGCGAGAGTTGAATCGGACAGCTTTTCTCACCTGACAGATGGTACAAGCAGGTTACATTTCCTCAATACACCGACTGGACTCCCTTTCCAGTCTGGGATCACTCTTCCCCAGTTCAAAGTCTCTTTCCTCCAGACATTCCTCCAGGTATTGAGATTGGCGGGGAGGGGAGGGAGGGAGAGGCCAAGTGATGATGTCACTTCCTTTCTCTTTATACCTTCTTCCAGCTGTTAGAAAGATCCTTGCTGTGACAAGGGGGTCAGGGAGTCCCCATTAGTCCCGCAGTCTCCATTGTGTACGAGTATTCTCCAAGAAGCCTCTGGGATAGTGGATTGTGTGTTGATAAGTCATTAATGAACATCTGGCTAGTGATAGCTACTCCTCTGTTGTAACTGAAAGGCTGGTTGTGGGTGTTCCCAACCTCCCAACCTCCCGACATATAGTAATACTTCATAACTTCACATAAAATGATAGTACATGCAATCCAACAGGTTATTATTGTTCAACAGATCAAGACTTACAAAATGATACCTTACAAGGCATACTTTGTACCAAAAAAAATCAATACTATCACGGTGAATATGGAGGTTCCAGGGTGCTGCTTTGAGGTACATAGTATCACAGTATCTTCCACAGTGTCCATGTTGAGGCTCTGGTGTCAATTGGAAACTTTTAGCTTTGCGGAATTCCTCCAGGTCCTCTTCTCTCTGGTGGCTGCAGCCTGCCCATCCTTGTCTCTCTGAAGCTGAGTAAAACACCAGTGACCTCTTGCCTCTGATGGTTACAACTGCCAAGTCTCCTGTCTGACTTTCTCTCTCTCTGATTCTGAGCTTTTTTTCTTCCTTGAATCTGAGGTACTGGTGTGTCCTGACCTGTTTGTCAAGGAATGTCTCTACTTCTCTAATTTTCAGCAACATCTCTACTTGCCCCTCCAATCTAACATAAGAACGGCCATACTAGGTCAGACCAAAGGTCCATCTAGCCCAGTATCCTGTTTTCCGACAGTAACCAGTGCCAGGTGTCCCAGAGGGAATGAATGGAACAGGTAATCATCATGTGATCCATCCTGTCGCCCATTCCCAGTTTCTGGCAAACAGAGGCTAGAGACACCATCCCTGCCCAATCTTCTAAGAATCTTTTCCTCCAGCACAGCTACCAACTTGCACTTCATGCACAATATGTGCCTTCTACTTGCCTTCCCCTCTGGTGCTGAGTTTGCTCTTCCCCGTCCTCCTATATTTTTGACTACACATTTGGAGGTAACTGCCGAGCACACAAACTTTTTAAACAAGCACAAAAAAAGAGGAACACTTTTTACACACATCTTTCTTTAATCTGCAATAAAAATTATTTATTTAGGGGGGAAAAATCACCTTTATGCCTCAGCGTACAAGTGCTGTGCTTTTAAAACACGCACAATGATCAGGGTTAATCTTGATTTAAAAGCCAACCTCAAGTTTAACAGACCTTAAAATTACATCAAAGAATCTTCAGTTACATCTTTAAAGCAGAATTTGTTTTAAAAAGTTCTGTTTTTCCCATACTAAGGCGGGGAGGGAAGTTAATGTAAAAAGTGATCATTTGAATAGCCAATAAGATATCAAATTTATTCTGCACTCATTCTACCTTCCTCATTTAACATTTTGCTTTTTAGATAGGCTGTTTATTTTTCATGCAATATTTTTTTTTTTTTTTAACCTACCAGCATGTCAAATTATTCCTCCTCTTCTGTTCCTGGCAAGCAGTGTTAGAACCAGGTTAGCTATGTGTCAGAACAGGTGCATTTGCAACCACAACTACTTCAGCCTCCGAATTCAAGGCAAGATTGTGGCCTCCTTCATGACAGGGAGTACTTTACTCTGCGAGTAGTCCCATCAATTTTGATAGGACTGTTCAAGTCCTACCCAGTGTGAGTAAGGAAGGCATAATTTGACCTGGTGTTATTTAAAGGTAAAAAGCATAAATCACTACCCATCCGGCAAGTGCTTCAGCTCCCAGGAACGTCACTAGGGAGCTGCTTAGCACTGTGCGGGAGCAAGCCCCATCACTGCCTGCTTAAACACTGAGGGCTAGACAGTGAGTCCTTTATTTCCAGTGGCGAGCAGTTACTCGCATAACTAGTCCCACTGAAGCCAATGGAACTACTTGTGTGAGAAACTGCTCCCCAAGGAGGGATAAAGGGCTCACAGCATGGCCTTGAATGCTTATGGTTTGTGGATGTAGACGTAGAGTGGCTGTTGTGGGTTCTGATTATACTGTGCCTTAAGGCTATTTGGTCTACAGCTATGTGTAATTACCTTCTAATAGTCTTATAGAGCTGACACTTGTTAGTACCAGTGATACAAGATTTTGGACACTAGGGCTACTCTGAAGTGCTGATGCACAAAGCATTTTGATTTCCTCACCATGCAAGTTCCATTCAGCAGCCCCTTTTTCTTGCCATTTGTTTTGATTCTGACATAATATGCATATTCCTCCATCCCCCAGGGCAGCTTTGTGGGAAAGGTATGCTGTAATTGGTCTAGAACTGTTCATAATGATCTGGGAATGCTGTACGAACACCAACAGGGAGCAACTTCACTTGTGATTTATTTAAGTGAGCTACATGGTTGAAAGGTTCTCCCAAGAGCACAAGTTTAGCTAGTCACCTAATTGGACGTAAATTTTCACATTTATTTCAGAACAAAGGTCTCTGTCATGAGATGCTGAATTTGAATTTATAAGCAAGTGTCTATACTGCTCAACTAAATCATAAGCACAGTTACTATAATCTGTTTTGGGGGAGTCTGAAATTCCACATTCAGTAGGTTTTAGTGTACAGTTTGCTAGAAGCATACAAGTTATGCTCAGCATTTGTAAAGCTAATGAAATATTAATTAAAGGTTTTATTTATTTACATCTAGAATGACCTCATTTTGATACATTAACATGTTTTAAATGCTGAGATTGGTAATGCGGCTTTGGCTGTAGTCTTTTATCAGTTTGTCAGGCTCCTGCTTATTTCATCAACGATCTGAACGCTCCATCTCACACGACACCCAAGATACGGGCAACCCACCAGCTGCAGGGCATAATAATTCGGCAGGCAGAACGACATCCTTGGTAGTTATAGGGCCATGGGTAATAGCCCATGAGAGGTTCACAAATTCTCTGGCATTGTGTGTAACTTCGTCTACATTCAATACAGCACACACCTTCATGGTCCAGCATTGGGTCAAAAGTCATCCCTTCGCCTTCAAGTTGCTGAAATGTAAAATACAAAATGAGAGAAGATGAACTCGAGTTCCCTGCACTCACATTATCCACATAAAAGACAACAGGTGAAATACTGGTCCTATTGAAGTCAATAGCAAAACTCCTGTTGACTTCAAGAGGGCCAGGCTTTCAGTGGCCTGATTCACCACTGCATTACTCCACATCTACACTGGACTCTCCATTATAAAACTAGAGGAACACAACGGGGAATCGGGCTGTCTGAGTTTCATTATTATTTTACTTTCCGAGCTTTTGGTGAAAGCTCTAATTATGGAGAGTTTAATAACAGTAACATTTGAGTTACAGTAGTAAGTAATGGAAAAGACCTGGGTTATCCAGTCCATCTGCCTGTATGTGCAGGACTGTGCCCTACTTTACATTGTCTAATGTTCTAGCCCAAGGATCGGCAACCTTTGGTACGCGGCTCGCCAGGGTAAGCACCCTGGCGGGCCAGGACAGTTTGTTTACCTGCCGCATCTGCAGGTTTGGCTGATCGTGGCTCCCACTGGCCCCAGTTCACTGCTCCAGGCCAATGAGGGCAGCGGGAAGCGGCGACCAGCACATCCCTCAGCCCGCACCCCATTTTAGAGACTGAAAAACTGAGGCACAGGGAGGCAGAGTAACTTGCTCAAGGTTGCCCCACCTCAATGCACAAACTTCCCCATCAGAGGGAAGAAGGGGAGAGAGGGGAATGACAATGGCTCAGCTAAGGCCAAGACTACACATCTGTCTGGTAAACCAATGGTGTAGATTCCCAGTGCCTAAAGGAAATTTTGGAGATAATCTTCCAGTGGATCCTACACCAAATGAGCACATGATACAGGAGATCTTGAGTGACTCCATTTTGTTTCCTTGCCTCCATCGTCCGTTGGGCAAGTACATCACTGAGGTACCACTTCACCACCATTAGCTGAAAATTGGAGCACATGGCACTAAGAAATTAGCAGCGAAAGCAGTGGTGAGGCAGTTGATGATGATGAGACTGGGTACATTAGAAACAATGGTGCTATTCGGTCTGCAGATCTCTGACAGGAAAATATTAGCAAAAGTAAGCAAAACAACTGTCAATCAAGCCTGTCAGCAGAGTATGTAAAGAGCGTCCGAGACACAGAGAGCTGAGGAGAAGGTGCGAGGAGTGTAGAGACTGACACGCCGTGGGAGAGAGAGATAGAAGAAGCAGAGATCAGAGAAAGATGAGACCTGTCCGCTGCAGCGACCTGTGGAAGACTGGCCATCTGAAGTGGGGCACAACCACTTAGGATCATGTTAACTGTATGTTACCATGGGTTGGGGTGCTTAACCTGTGGTGCGGGGGATGTGTGTTACTGTGTTAAGGATTTGTGTTTACACCAATAAAGGGATGCCTTGTTTCAGAAAGAATACTGTTTGTGTCAATCATTTATCAGAAGGCTGTATCTGTGTCCTCCCGTTATTTCCTTAGCCACCTGGGAGACCCATGCCTGAGGAGAACAGATTGGTTAACTGGTGGGCTGTTTTGAGGGAGCCAGAAGGGGGCAAGAGGTGAGCTACTCTGGGGAGCACCTAAAATCTGTTTTGGGGGTAACACAGGTTCCCAGTGGCAGGAAGACAGCTGTACTGCTCCCACTCTCCAGAGGGATAATGGTTCTACCTCTCAGGCCCCATTATCTATCTGTATGGCAGATAGCTCCTCCCCTTCAGTGGCAATGGTTTAGTTCTGATGCTGCTTTTGGGGCCAATGCTGCTTCTACTCAACTGAATTCTTAAGAAATAAAGTCAATTTAGTTCTACTTTATTTGGAGTGATTAGCTTAAACCTACTTAAGAGATGTCAAGTGTGTAGAACACTGTTACGGGATAATGATCTCCTGCTGTTACATAAATGTCAGGACAAAGCTGTGACTTATTTTCAAAGCAGGAGACATTGATCTTGTGACAACATTCTATTAAAATAACTTTATCCCTGCTGTACCAAACAGTGCTGTAAATTGTCTGATGATGGTGCAGTAGAGTGGAAGTGGCTTGCTGTACAGTTAATTGTTTTGCAGTACTGTGATGGGCCTAGGGAAATGGGACTCTTCACATTTTCATTCTGTTGACCTCTTCTTATGAGAGAGAAAATAAGACTCTGGCTTGGACCCATTTTTCCCCAAGTTCTTTCACTGCATTGTTTTAAAAGGATTCCATTCTGCAGGTTGCCAGAAAGGGCTGTGTGAACTGTCTGACAACCACAGTTTCCAAGACAGACATGTTTGGCCTGATCCTGATTTCTGAAAAATCAGTGGCAAAATTTCCATTGACTTCAGTGGCAACATTGTCCCATTGCAGATGTGGCTAGTCACAATGCACCACACACGCTTACATGTTTCACGAAGAAGCTAGTTTCTAACAAGCTGACTCTGCCTTTTTATTGTTTTCTTTTTATCAGTTAATGATCAGTGTCAACTATCTGCCTAAGGCAGATTAAATTTGCTGTAGTTATGGTAATGCATTATCTGTATCAGATGTATCTAGTTTTCAGTATTAAACTGGACTCTCTACAGCAGTCTTGCAAAATTATCTTAAATTCACCAGCCTAAGCACAGTATCTACTACTTCTCCATATTTTGAGGACTAATGATAACAAAAAGTATATTGTAGTTGCTTCTGGTGAGTGGAATTTTTAAATGGCTGCACTATCGAATGAAAGTTTAAGTCGACAAATTGGTGGTATAATTATTTTTGAAGTCCATTTGAAATGGATAGGTATCTAGAAATGAGTACTTAATAAAGTTTCATACCTACCTGCAAAATCAAATGCTCTTAAGGGAATTCTTAATCAAATATATATGTACTTACATGATACGGATTTTCTGGATTAAAGGTTGAACTAGAATCTTGCTCACTGGGACCAGTGGCGTTAGATTGGCGTTCCGGTTTTTGAACAGGCTGGGTAGTAGGTGACCTGGTATTTACGATGTCAGCAGTAGCTTCAATTTGGTCCAGATCAAAGTTTGATTGAGCTTGACGTATTTTTCTCTTGATTTCGCGCTTCTTTCTCTGGCTGTCTGCAAAAACAGTCATAGGAGTACACAGGTGTTTTAAAACATGTTCTTCCACTAGTTCAAGGACCATATTTTATTACCCATTCATTAGGGTTACCATACGTCCGGATTTTCCCGGACATGTCCGGCTTTTGGGGGCTCAAATCCCCGTCCGGGGGGAAATCCCCAAAAGCCGGGCATGTCCGGGAAAATCGGGAGGGCTCGGTGGTGCTCGGCCGGGGCCTATTTGGCTGGTGTCGGGGCGGGGCCGG